TCGTGGGTAACACGAGCGCCCGTGTCAATGGACCCGACGACGACGCCCTGTCCACGGTAGCCCTTGGCCCACACCTCAGGCGCCTGGATAATGTTGAGGCCCCATTCCGTGGTGTTGGCAGCAACGGCTTCGGAAGTTGAGATCTCGGAGGTGATGAGGCGGCCCATGGCTTCGGGGCGGACGAAGGCAACCTCGGGCAGCTTCGCGAGAGCATTGATAAGGTCCTTCTCGGCGCTCTTGATAAAAAGTGCGTTGCTGATCCAGAGCTGCGTAGGCTCGGCCGTCGACTCAAGCTTGGAGCTCTGGATGAGCTTGAGGGCGGATGCTTGCGCCGAGGCGGCGTGGTCGACGAGGGTCGACCGGACGAGCTCGCCGCGTTCTGCACGCGACGCCAACGACGACGCCTCGAGCTTTGGTGCGGCAAGCACCTCTTCGGCTGTGCCCTTGAACTCGACGATGATGTTTTGAGCAACCGTGGATGACTCGAGCTTCTGAAGAAGCTTGGGGTGGATCTTGGAAACGTCGGCGCCAACGACACCAGCGACGACACCAGCGATGAGTGCGCGAGCGACAAAGACCATGATGCTTTCTTTGTGGCGAATTGAATAATATGAGTTGATGCCCGCGAGCAAGGCTTATACATTCTCAGATACGAGCCAAATCAGATCCGATTTGTGTTCTCAGGTATTGCGCATCAGAAAATTGACAGGTGGCGGTATCCAGAGCCCTCGAATCCATGAGTCCCACATCGACTTCGGCTATACACGGTATGTCAACATTGTCGAATGTCTACGCACGAGACCTTGCTCTGGATGACATACAATATGAGTATCAACAATAGCTTTCTTGCGTTTTCTTCCAACCTAAGACGCTTGAACAAAGCATGGGTCATTAGACTGCAGTGTATCTTGTCGATAGGCTTTCTACGCGAGTCTTCACGTGGGCGTCTGTGTCTAAGCCATCATCTGACAACTGCAAAGCTGGTGCGGTTCGTACAATAGCTCGTTGTGATGGAAAATTCTAGAGTACTGGTAGCATTACGGTAGCAACGACAAACGAGCCTAAAATGCTAAAATGCACCCCTGCTAAAATCACAGCAACGATGCAACAAGGCTGTGAATCTGCAGCGTTCGGGTGTTGCATTGACCGTGCGTATCGCGATGCACTTCGAGTTTTGGCACAACCACGGAAGCGTTAGAAGCTACTCGGTAGGACGGCGAGCCTAATCTGATTTGTTGGGATTAGATCGAGTAAACCCATGTAACGTTTGAGAGTGGCAGTACGTTGTCTGGTACGTCGTGCGGCCAATAGCAACCGTGAGGAAATGATGCGCCAGTTTACCGGTACTGTGCCTGCCATGCCCAAAGATGATAAAAGAGATATTGGGGGGGGGTGGTTTTGTTTATAATAACACCTATTATAGTTTAGTCTATCCAATACGGGTAATACGTTCACGATCAGACCAGGGGTCCAATGTACCCTGGCTCGAGCCGTACAATTGAGGAAACGTCGGTGCACACTCGTCAAACAAAATAATTTTACCAAAGCAACATTTCAAAGCGATCCACACGTTTGCTCATGATATCAGTCGATAGACAGTACACCAACTCCCACATATATACTAGTATATATGAACGTTAACGTGTTTCGCGTTATCTTCGTTGTTACAAAGAGTTCGCATACGTAGAGACTAGCAATCTCCTTCTTCATTCGCTCACCCGGCCGTGGCTGCGCAGGCGGCGGCGCGGGGGCTCGTTTTGCTCTTCTGTGGTCGTCCGGGGGCGCTTGTGGCCGCGGGTGAGGCCCATGACAACTCGCTGTGTTAAGGTCTTCGAGGTTTTGCCGTTCGGCGGCAGAGCTACGCAGTTTG